ATGGTGAAACGAAAGGAAGAACGGATTGAAAGAATGAAAGAAAGAAAGAAAGAGAGAGAGAGAGAATGGTAAAACGAAAGGAAGAACGGATTTAATGAATGAAAGAAAGAAAGAAATAAAAAAGAATAAAGAGAGAGAGGGAATTTTGAAACGAAAGGAAGAACGGATTTAAAGAAAGAAAGAAAAAAGAAAGAGAGAGAGAGAAAAAGAGAGAGAGAGAATGGTGAAACGAAAGGAAGAACGGATTTAAAGAATGAAAGAAAGAAAGAAAGAAAGAGAGAGAGAGAGAGAGAGAGAGAATGGTGAAACGAAAGGAAGAACGGATTTAAATAATGAAAGAAAGAAAGAAAGAAAAAAGAAAGAAAGAGAGAGAAAGAATGGTGAAACGAAAGATAGAACGGATTTAAAGAAAGAAAGAAAGAAAGAAATAAAAAAGAAAGAAAGAGAGAGAGAGAGAGAATGGTGAAACGAAAGAAAGAACGGATTTAAAGAAAGAAAGAAAGAAAGAAAGAAAGAAAGAAAGAAAGAAAGAAAAAAGAAAGAGAGAGAGAGAGAGAGAGAATGGTGAAACGAAAGAAAGAACGGATTTAAAGAATGAAAGAAAGAAAGAAAGAAAAAAGAAAGAAAGAGAGAGAGAGAGAGAGAATGGTGAAACGAAAGGAAGAACGGATTTAAAGAATGAAAGAAAGAAAGAAAGAAAAAAGAAAGAAAGAGAGAGAGAGAGAGAGAATGTTGAAACGAAAGGAAGAACGGATTTAAAGTAAGAGAGAGAGAGAATTGTGAAACGAAAGGATGAACGGATGGAAAGAAAGAAAGAAAGAGAGAGAGAGAATGGTGAAACGAAAGGAAGAACGGATTTAAAGAAAGAACGAAAAAAGAAAGAAAGAGAGAGAGAGATAGAATGGTGAAACGAAAGGAAGAACGGATTTAAAGAAAGAAAGAAAAAAGAAAGAAAGAGAGAGAGAGAGAATGGTGAAACGAAAGGAAGAACGGATTTAAAGTAAGAGAGAGAGAGAATTGTGAAACGAAAGGATGAACGGATGGAAAGAAAGAAAGAAAGAGAGAGAGAGAATGGTGAAACGAAAGAAAGAACAGATTTAAAGAAAGAAAGAAAGAAAGAAAGAAAGAGAGAGTGAGAATGGTGAAACGAAAGGAAGAACGGATTTAAAGAAAGAAAGAAAAAAGAAAGAAAGAGAGAGAGAGAGAGAATGGTGAAACGAAAGGAAGAACGGATTTAAAGAATGAATGAAAGAAAGAAAGAAAAAAGAAAGAAAGAGAGAGAGAATGGTGAAACGAAAGGAAGAACGGATGGAAAGAAAGAAAGAAAGAGAGAGGGAGAGAATGGTGAAACGAAAGAAAGAAAGAAAGAAAGAAAGAAAGAAAGAAAGAGTGAGAATGGTGAAACGAAAGGAAGAACGGATTTAAAGAAAGAAAGAAAGAAAAAAGAAAGAAAGAAAGAAAACCGGTGAAACGAAAGAATGAAAAAAAGAAAGAAAGTAAGAAAGAGAGAGCGAATGGTGAAACGAAAGGAAGAACGGATTTAAAGAAAGAAAGAAAAAAGAAAGAAAGAGAGAGAGAGAGAGAGAGAGAGAGAGAATGGTGAAACGAAAGGAAGAACGGATTTAAAGAATGAAAGAAAAAAGAAAGAAAGAGAGCGAGAGAAAGGTGAAACGAAAGGAAGAACGGATGGAAAGAAAAAAAAATATGAAATCATAAAAAGAAAAGAAAGATAAGAAAAGGAATGAAAAGAAATAAACAAACAGAAAAATGAAAGAACCCAATGTATAAATGGAAAGGATGTGAAAAAACAGAAAGAAAACGTGAAAAAATGAAAGAAAGAGAGCGAAAACGAAAATAAGAGATGAGAACGGACCGGAACCCCCCCCCCCAAAAAAAAACTCATTCATTAATTATTTCGCCGATAATTGAATGCACTTGAAAATTTTGTTTTACAAATGTCGTTCTGCAAAGATAAGATATGCTTCATCAAGTCGATTGCCGGTAAATTTATGGAAAGGCTTTCCAGGAAATGTTCTTATCTGATGACTCGGATCCACTCGGGCGCTGACAGAAACCACTTTCGATTTGTACAGTTTTTATATGCATTTCTTTTTATATACAATTGATTGAATCCATTCCTTACTGTTCTTGTGTATTAAAAAGTTGAAAACAGCCGACAACGGGTGCTTTTTTTATCATTCGATTTCCGAAAAGGTAGAGAAAAGCTGTACATGTAGCAAAAAAGACATGCGCCGTTTATGGGAATGGTGCCGTAGCAAAAACTACTATTTTCAGTGGTTCACTAGTTTCAAAAGTAGAAAAACCGAAAGATGATAATCGTTGATGAAGAAAATAAGTCATGGTCGCTCGGGACGTGATGTGACAGAGATAATCTACATATCTCACATGATAATCTACATATCTCACATGATAATCTACATATCTCACATGAGCATTGAAAGGCAATAAAAAACAAATCTAATGGACCGTATTTCAATTTGAGATTATCCGTTCGAAACGGAATAAAAAAATGATACATTCTTAAAAGATCGATTGAAGGTGATGAAAAAGGGATCGCTTACAATAATATGAAGTGAAAACGGAATGAAACGAAGCTTCAACTGGAATGAATATACGTCTGCATCCTAAGATGATATGTATGGGCTGAGTGGTTAGAAAGTTCACTTTCTGTCCATGAAACCCGGGTTCGATTTCTGACGATGAGACCCGGGTTCGATTTCTGACGATGAGACCCGTAGCCGATTTGTCAGGAAACTTCCTGTTGTTATCAGTCAGGGTGATCCCGGCGTGTGGCACCTTTGGAAAGTACCTGAAAACCAAACGACAGGTTGAGGAAGCCTTATGAGTAGATGCCTGTGCTAACAAGACATAAGTCATCGTGACCGAGGGTTTGGGTGTGATAGCCTTGTTCAGACTGTTGTTCACGCTAGATAACACGCACTCTTCAACAAACTGTATCTCAGGCCTACTCACAGTAGTTGCAGTATGAACCACAGGTGGGCCCTGTTGGTGTTGAACAAACAAAAATGCCACTGAGCGGCCATCTGTAATAGGTTTGATTGGCTAGCCATCATAGTAGTAGGGTATCTTCAATATGAGTGGCCAGATATTATTATTATTATTATTATTTATCTGGGGACAATTTGAAGACGTTCCTAATATGAGAGATTAAAGGCAGATAATCGATGGAAAATCTCCGGAATTTATCAATCTGAAGGGCGTCATCTTCCATCAGGATAACACCAGCCCTCCCATCTCTTTGCAATTGGTACATTATGGCTGAAGTGTCTTACTACATACGGTGTACTCACCTAACTTGGTAATTTACTGCTTATTTTGATCCTTACATAATAGTCTTCATGCGAAGAACTTCATTATGATTAAATAAATATATGTACGAATATTTAAAAAGAAGCAACAAATTTTGGTTCAAACCTAATATTTCGACTGTTATATCTTGCTGTCATCCAGTCATTATTCTTAATGTTTCTGTGATTGTAGTTACAATTTTCAGAATTTTCAGCACAGGCATCCATTAATTCCACGGGTACTCATACCTCTGTCCAGACTAAGGTGAGATGTCGTAACATTCAATTCTATTTGGTTGAGAGCCTCTTATATTGAAGAAATATGTGACAACTTTTCACTAAACAAACAAAAGATTGAACACACAAGAGACACCGATTGTTATCCATTAGGCAATGTGACCTTGTTATATCATATCATTCAATTTTATTTATTTGGTATTCGATTATGTTGAACAAATATATATGAGACTTTGTCACTACTCAACCAAAAGATTGAACCTACAACCGACAACGAAAGTTACCCACTAAGCTATGTGACCCTGTTATATAATATCATCGAATTCTATCTTGTTGGTAGTCTCTTACGTTGAACAAATATATCTGACACTTTTTCTCGACTCAACCTAAAGATTGATTTCCCAAGCAACAACGATAGTTATCCACTAAGCTATGTGGCCCTGTTATATCATTCTATTCTATGTGGTTGGCAGTCTCAAATGTTGAAAAAATGTGTGACACTTTTTCATTACTCAAGCAAATGATTTCCCTGTTAGATAATTCGATAGTTCAATTATTGACTCTTATACCTCATGACATTTTCTATCTCTTCTTGACTTGTCTTGTCACTAATTGTTATACAATTATGTGGTCAGGTGATGCAGTTTTTTCTTTACGTTCCAGTTTAATATACATTAAATGTCCGAGTAAATCAGTTTATAACAATGATTACCACTTCAAAATGAAAATCAATTGTTTGAAAGAATGAGAATTTTTTCGAATCATTTGAATTTGATTATCAATTGAAATGATGTTTTCGTTGTGAAGTCAGTAATAAAGGATGTTTTATGAACCAGCATTTTTAAAAACATGTATCACCCTAAGCAAGACATTAAAGCTACTAAGACACAAGCGGTTATTGGGTGTGGACAAATTAGGAACAGTAACAGTACTAATGAGCGATAAGAGAAATGAAGAAACAGGAGGACAGTAGATATTGTTTGCAATTGCATTAAATTCTTTTCTTTTAGTTTGAAGATGGCTGGAATGCATGGAACCAGAAGGGAGTTCCACAAGCTAGAAGCGCGAGAAAATAAACTTAGCGTAGAAATTACGGCTACATCTATAACCAGCTCAATTGTAAGTTGATGGGCTCTCGAGGCCAACCTAGAACTGAGCTTAAATTTTTTAAAAAAGTTTAGCTACCATAACGTAGATGTCATCTTGGTCGTGTAACTCAAGTCGAAATGTAGATTTAAAAGAGAAAAGCTTTTATTATCCAATAATGATAATAATGGTAATGATGAGAATATCCGTTTCCATACAGGAAAGATTTGGCATTCATTAACCGAATTGTTAGCACGACAATCGATTGAAATTTATAATTTTTTTTCCCTTTGAAACAGTTTTTTTATGTCCACAGAAAGAAACGCCAATCCACTGCGGGAAATCATCTGCCTAGTCAGTCATGAATCAAAAACATCATCATCGCCATATCTACAAACAAAACCTACATAAACAATGTTGTGATGTAAAGTCTAGAAGAATATGAGTGTATGTGCACGTCTACATGTGTGTATTTCTGTGTGAAGAAGTGTAAATTTGTTTGACGACCGAGACGGCCGATCTGAAAAGAGCCAAGAATATCCCAACCTGTCCCTTGTTGAAAGATCTTCGCTACATACAGTCCCAACACCGAAATAGAATTACAATTGCGTATGTATGTATGCTCAGACGCATGGGAGTGTATCCGCGCCTAATCTCGGATTGTTTATATCGGTGTGTTTGTGTGAACTAAAATGCATAAACCTGTATGTATGTCTATGTGTGTGAGAGTGTCATCCCAAAATGGATACAGTGGAGGTTTTCCCCCTCCCTCACCAAGCATAATCAAATACAAACGAGCATAAATGGGATTCAATTTTTTAAAAAAATATACCAGTTTGTCTGATGATCGCAAGAGCATAAAACCCAGGGTCACAAACCCATATCCATACAACTGAATATATCAATATGTATTTTCTAAGCATTTCAGCCCAAGCAAGGCGGAAGTGTCACTAGCACGCAAGGGGCTACAGAGAATGAGAACAAGAGTAAAAAAGGGTGTTTGAGGAAAGGATAAAGAAAAACACGTGCAACAAGATCAAGCCATCAGAAGATGTCGATTGACATTACATTTGAATATTTGAAGATTATAGCTATCAAGGAAGCAAGTAAGAGGAAGAAATTCCCACAGATGTTGGGGTGAGCGAGGTAAGAAGCTCTTGAAATAGAAGAGACGGATACATTTAATCGTTTCGGCAGTGAAAGCGTGGCACCGAGAGACCAATCAGTGAAAGTAGCTAGTCCGAGCAGTTGCCGTAAAAATACTTGTAGAAAAGACAGAGGGAAACTACAGCACGTCAGTGAGAAAGTGACTGTAGACGAGATGCCAGATCAGGACCTATCACATTGATTATCTGTCTCTGGATTTCGAGGGCCTTGAGATGAACAGCGGGGGTACCAGACCATATATGGCAACAGTATTCCATGCAAGGACGAATGTTTGATTTATAGATTTGAATGGTGAACTCAAGAGAGAAAAAACTTTCTGGCGCGACACGCAGAACCAACTTTCCTTGCAGTAGATGAAGCTATTGATTCAATGTATCCCTCTACCTCAGGTCCGCGGACAGCGTGAGACCAAGAAGGCGCAGAGTTAAGCATCAGGTATTTTGATGAGAGGCAGGGAGAGTTCTCTATGGTCGGTAAATGAGCAGTTTCGTTTTGGAGGCATTAAAGTTTACAAGCAATTTCCTTCCACAGTCAACTACAGATTGGAGGTTCTTTTCGAGACCAACGGTCAGGTTAGTTTTATCAGCGATACCAGATTTACTATTGAGGCTGGAGTAAATAGCAGTGTCATCTACGTAGATGACTTATTATGAAATGATGACATCAGGAAGATCGTTAATGAAGATCAGAAACAGTATATTAAATTAATGCAGACATATTTATAAAATACATCTTCACTGGAAGAGTTATTGCTAATTCTATATTCTATGGAGGCGAGTACATATTTGATTGAGGGTGATTAGAATTTGGCTAGATATATAATGGATTTGCGTTTGTTTTCGTGTAGGGTTGTTATGTATTATTAAATTTGTGTTGATTTTAACTTTAAGGTTTAGAACTTTAAAATCCATGATTATCTCAGTTTTAACTTTTGTAAAATTTTACACCACCATAAGGCCGTCATCTCTGTATATCCCTATATCTTCTATGTTGATATCTTGGTAGGCACTACGATTATATAATCTTAGCGCCCACCAAGATATCAACACAAATTTTAAAAAAGTAGATTACCTTGATGCTACACTAGACTTAGTCAATAATAAATACCAACCCTACATGAAAACTAATGCAAAACCATTACATATCGACCCAAATTCTAATCACTCTCCATCCGTTATCAAGCACATACCCTCCTCCATAGTATATAGAATAAGCAATAACTCTTCCAGTGATGATTTATTTTATAAACATAGGAAATCTTCCAATACTGCCTTCAAAAATAGTGGCTATAAGTACCATGATATTAAGTATATAAAACATAACAGCGATAGTAAGAATAAAAATAGAAACAGAAAAATCATTTGGTATGCACACCCATTTAACCAAATGGCTAGTACTATGTTAGAGCAGAAGTTTCTCAAATTAAGTGAGAAATACTTCCCAAGAAATAATCCACTTAGTAAGAGTTTTAAGAAATTTACTTAATTTAAAAGCTTATAAATTAAGTAAATTTCTTAGAAAGTTATTGCTAGCATCGTTTGTCAATGGAACGAAACTCGGAATTTTAAGTTTATTTTTTTATAATTAAATTTACAAACATAGTTTCAGTTTTGAAGCATAAAAAATTCTGTGTCGAGATGGAAACATATTTTTAAAAAAGAAAAAAATTATAACATATAATAAAGATAATAAAGAAAAGTTTCAAAGAAAAGTTTCAAAGAAAAGTCTTACATTTGAATTTCACACCAATAAACATAAATTTATTCCGCAGTTGTTTTACATTGCATCTTCAGACTAGTTCAAATGCACAAAACACGGGAAATAAATTGATTTAAAAAATGAAAGACAGCGAAGAAGGAAAGAAAAGAAAATTATTGTGCTAGCGGGAAGCAGTAAATGAGAGGAAAGGGTAAAAATGAAGACAAAAGGGAGGGGAAGATATCTTGTTGGATGAAGGGGCGTAGGGTGACTATTTAACGGAACTGTTCCAAACATCTCTTCTGTAAAATGCCATAAGTATAGGTGATTTTTTTTTAATACAGTGTAACCCGGATATAAGAGAGTTGTCGGGACCGGAGACGAAGTCTCTTATATCCGGGTTTCTCTTATATCCGGGTTTGGTCTATTTTATATACATTAACACAGGCTCTATTTTGGGACCAGAGAAACTCTCTCTTATATCCGGGTCTCTTATATCCGGGTTAAACTGTATATATATATTAAGTGTAGCACAAGGTCAAACGTATGTTATTTCTGAGTATAGTTACAATTTTTAACAAATCATGCCGGACTATTGATTCTTCAGCCCTTATGAGATATAATCGATTAGGACAAAAGTAATCACCTTCCTTCATATGTAAGATATTCATAGCTCATCTCCAATTTATACAAAATAATTTTAAATCTACAGTGAGTCACCTGTATTCGTGGGGGTTAGGGACCAGAACCAGCCGCGAACAGTTGGAATCCGCGAATACTTGTAACCTCCCCACCTAAAAGGGCTTATAAGTACCTATTTTGATTGTTAAAATAACCATATGCCTTAAACTTTCATCCGAAATAGTTTAGGATCATTTCAGACCCTTTTAAAAACATTTTTGAAAAATAGTATTGGTGACCATACACTTAGCGTAAATTTTCTTTCATACATACAATAGCCGTTTTTAATTGCGTATAGGTCGATACAACCATTGAAAATACTGTATAAAATATGCGTAACAAGACATAAAATATAAAGTTTAAAACATTTTCTAAAAATAGAACTGTGATGACGCCCCTCAGACTTAGCATCAGTCATTTTAAGACCCCAGCCGCAGCCCCTAACAAAGAACAAAGCCCAAGCACTACGTATGTTTTTGAGTTTCTTTTTTACAATGAAGATGTACGATTCTGCCAATTTTTACCATAAAAATGGACTGTTATAGGTTTTAAGTCACTTAAATAACAGGAAAATAATACAAGAATATTTTAAATATGTTCTATCGAAAAAATACGTGAATCGAGGAAGTTCTCAGCGAATAATTTGTGCATATGTTCTTCAGAAAAACATCGAATAGGCGGGGGATAACTGTATTTCAAAAGTTACTGAACGATTCAAAATATATAGATTAAAAACTTCCACTCCAAACGATCGGCTAAAGTTCCCAGGGTTTATTTTTATACTGATTTGAGGATGAAGCCTTTTCTTAGAAGAAGAAAAAAGACGAATCTATTTTGAAAGAATTTACAACTTGATGAATGAGCCAGGAAGGATGACTGTTTTTGCTAGTCGATTCATTTTTCAATTCGGCGTTAGACAGTACTGTCAGGAAGAAAAATAGCTGAGAGAAAAGGCGAAAGATTTCAGTTCACGATAAGGCATGTATATGTTCTGACCTTGTCTGATTGCTAGAAATCTTTCGCAGTCTTATCCTCATCTTCATCGCCTGTCAGCTTTTAGAGGAGAGACCGGTTATTATTTCTATTCTATTATTACTGCGAAGGTTTCACACGGTCTATACCAATTAACATGTTTTCTTTTACTATTCTTCACCCAATAAAAGGCCCAAGAGACACTCAAGATAGTCACTGAATAAGATTGTTGTAAGTGCGTAAAAGAGAATGGAACCAGGTGTGCATACTGTGAGGATATGTAGGATAGATATCAATAAACAATCAGTAAATCAGTTTATAACAATGGTTAAGTGAAAGGGAAAACATCCTTTCGGCAGTCTGTTCCAGAAATTGACATTTCCACGGAAGATGTGGGAGAGAAACTCCCTCCTCACCAAAGATATACAAAGGGGATGTGGATGATTTGCGACCTTGTACGTGGTATGGTGAACCTAAAGGTCTAAAGTGGTTGAATGTAGCAACGTTTTGTCTGTGAGAAAGGGATTTCAGCGTAACCGCATTTGAACTGTGTTGAGGCTGGACACTATTGGCCGGGCAGCACCAGACCAATATATGGCACAAGTACTACATTCTGGGTCTGATTCTTGTGAATACAGAATATATCCGTAGGTTTTAAGTATTTCCTGATACGATACAAAAAGAAAAATTCTTCCAGCATCTTTAGCGATAGTAGAATAAGACTTGTATCACTAAACCATTATTATCTTCACAAAATATTATTATAATCTAAAACCATTTTCTAGCAAAGGGTTGGTAATTCGTAAAAAAGATTCAATTAATCAATTGTATGTCATATATATGATACTGCGAAACAGTCTGTCTGTAGATGACAATAGTGAACTCCCAAGCGTAGCTCAGATGTGGCACGAGGCCGAAAGTATGGGGCACCCAGTGAGGCTCGAACTCAGTCATAATTGTGCTAGCAAGCTTGCTAACCATTACACCACCTCGAGGGGCCCAAATGATTCTCTAAGCTAGCTTAGATGTGGAATAAAGCCGAAAGTATGGGGCAATCAGTGAGTATCGAACTCAATACTCAGTCGCAGTTGATCTAGCAAGACAAACTTTCTAACCATTACACCACGTCGAGGTGCCGAAAGAGATTTTCCAAGCGTAGCTTAGATGTGGCACAAGGCCGAAAGTATGGGGTACCCAGTGAGGATCGAACTCACTACTCAGTTGTAATTGTTCTAGCTTGCTAACCATTACACCGCCTCGAGGTGCCCCTATAGATGACAATATATAGGCTCCTGAAAAATTTATTTCGGTTGAGTTCTCTGGGGGAGGAAGTGTGGGTTTGTAAACTGTGACTATTACGGCTATTATAGCAAGACTCTTCGGTAAAGCGAATCAAGTCCTCTCAGTTATTGTGTGTTTATCTAAAAATAAATACGCTAAAATTCACCTTTTATATATATATATATATATATATATATATATATATATATATATATATATATAACTAAAATAAATCCTAAAGAGCCAGGAAAACCTAGAAAGTGTGTGTGTGAGAGAGAGAGAGAGAGAGAGAGCGACAGAGAGAGAAAGTGTGAGAGAGAGGGAGAGATAGAGAGAATGCTACCTGTACATATTTGTGTGAACGCAGTAAACATAAAAAGCAAGTTACTACTATATGCCAAATTCATTAAGGACGTAGCCGATCATAGCTCTCTACTACTTCCTATAATTTGTAACCCTTGAGAAATGCTTGTCTTTTTACTAACTCTCCCATTCTCTGCCCTCTCGTCTATTTACACAAGCTCTCTGGGTAGGTTACTCGCTCTTTCTCTCTGTCCCTTTTGACAGCGTCATTCCCTGTGAGTGTCAAAATTTCTAAACCTTTTTTCCTCATTATGTTGGATTTGTATAACGGAATCAATATTATCTAAGAAAATTGTTACAGTCTAAAACTATTTTCTGGCTTTAAATAACCTGCAAAGGGTTGATAAGAGGTAAAAAACGAATGAATTTATCAATCAATCTGAGAGAGAGAAAGCCAGTATTATTGTCTGAAATTTTAGATGTGAAATTATCATTATTATACTGTTGCGGCCCCGGTAGCATGCAGTGCTGGTTTACTAAAAGGTGGCCTTGTGCCATACACTACTTATGACTACCGAATCCACTAACAAAGTAAAAATAACAAATGTGTGATCTTTAGTGAGGAAAAAGGGTCATTTAACACATGCATAAAAAGAGTAAAATATAGATAGCCAGGAGAAAACGACAAAACGAGTCTGGTGGAAAACAAACACAAAACTTTATTTTAATAACAAATATTTGGTCTCAACAGTGGAGACTATCAGGAAAGGTGAGGACTGTTCTTAGCCTGTAGGCAGTTAGTAATATGTAGAGACTAATAGAATGTTAAAGTTCCGCGCCAAAACAAAAAGCCAAGATGGCTAAGGCGGGAAAAGTTTCTTCAGAATGAAAGTTCTGTAATGTGGTCTTCTTGTACAAAAAGGTGTAAGCATACACAACAAGAAAGAATACTCACTGCGAGGTTTAATAATGTGTGTGTAATGTTATTTTTTTTAAACTGGTTTGTAAAGGTTAGAATTCAAAAGAGATGTATGAAAAGTTCATCAATCTTCAGTGAAGGAAAATTCTGAGTTGTTCGCATCAAGACGAGGAAATTAGTCTTGGAAAGGTGTGATGGCGACCGTGCAATAGACTCTGGTAGTGAACAGAGGAAATTCGAACAAGTAGTTCGCATCAAGACGAGGAATTTGGTCTTGGAAAAGTGTGGTGACGTCAGTGTCGTAGAATCTGGTAGAAAATGAAGAAGGTTGTTCAATTAAGACGAGGAATTGGTCTTGGAAAAGTGTGATGTCGACAGTGTCGATACTCTACGTTTTCTAGTAGAAAAACGGAAGAAGTTGTAATCACACGACATGTTGAAATTTTGGTTAGTTAAGATATTCCGGCCCGCGTATGGGTTAGGGGCACGGAATAAATGAGTCAACCTTCTAGTTTGTAAATCAGGCGGCGACTAACTTGAAAAACGAAGTTTGTCAGTGACGTCAGAGAAATGCGCGGGAAAATTTCAAATTCTGATTCTAGACGGTCCTCACGTCAGCGGTTTACTGCTATATCTAGCCAAATGTGAAAGTAAGGGGTGCAATACGCGCGCACGCACGCACGCACGCAAAAGGGTGGAATCCACGATTCCACAATACAATGATTTATTCGGACCAGTGTTTTATCTTGTCTCAATAGTCGAGTGGACAAGACGTTAACGTTCCAACCATAGGGTCTTAATTCTACCAGGGTCATTTTTGCCAAGACTAGCCAATTATTCGTTCTACGAACAGAGAAATATAAATTGTAATAGAAATCCTCTTATCATTTTCCAAGCCTTACGGTCATATAGTGTTGTAACACCGGTTCCCGTACAATCATTAGCAATATCAATAACATTATTATTTTCAAAAGAAACATTTTTACAATCTAAAACTATTTTCTGGCTTTAAATAACCTGCAAAGAGTTGATAAGTCAAAGGTAAGCAACGTCGCTCCTGATCAGTACCTCGATGGGTGACTGCTTGGAAATACTAGGTGCTGTAAGCTTGCATGTGCGGGAGGTGTAGTGGATAATGGCTTGGAATTGTTAACCGTAGAGCCAACTTCCATTTAGGCTCTTTATATTCACTTACGCGCAAATATTGTTAGGAAAGTCATAAGTCTACCTCTTGTCCCCCATCAATGGGTTAATTAGTAAAACTTGTATCACTAAACAATTATTATCTCCAAACAAAAATTCGTATGTAATTTTTTTCTGGCTTTAAATAAAATGCAAAGGGTTGATAAAAACGAATCAAACTATGAATCAGTCACCAGAATTGGAGAAAATTTAGTACCTGTCAGGTGACTTTGAAACGTTACTAGTATTGTTTTCATATCTTTTGAATTAGATAATTATTGAACTGAGAGAGTTAGATCAGAGAAGAGATCGGATTTTTGTCTCTGATCGTTCAAGTTTTTTGAGGTGCACCCATACAACGTGGTATCATCTGCATATATAGATACTAAAGATTTGATAATGTTTATAGGCAGACCATTCTGAGAATTAAAAACAAATCCACCATAGGAAGCAGCAGCTCAGGTATATTTTAACTTTTTTTAAAATCCTTTCGCCACAAGCAAGGCAATGAAGCCACTAAGAACGTATGGGGATACCGAAATTCAGAGAATGCCATGAAAAATATTATTAAGAAGAGAGAAAAATAAAAGACCAAGAATCAAGAAAACAAACGAAAACGATTGACATTGCACTTACATGATTGAACATGATTGATTGCTGAGAAGCAAGACGCCTGAACAGAGACCGACAAGCGAGAAGTGGGAGTAACGTAATTGCTTGCATAGAAATTATGCTTACATCTCGCCATTTTAACTGCACGATTATGAGACCTTACCGCCAATCTCATAATACACTTAAATTCATAAAGTCTAAGTACCATAAAGCTGAATTCATCAGAATAATTACCATGAAAATATTCATAGTAAAGACAGAGGGAACCTGAAAAGCAAGAATAAGCAAGGCATTTATTGTAGACGAGAAGACAATTGAGGAGCACATTTCTTTGAGACAGTTGAAGAAATTGTGCATTAGAAAAATGCTGAACTCGGGTTAGAAGAAATCTAGAGTCAAAAAGGTAGGTATATGCCTGCAATACGTTCGTCAAAACGATATACACTGCGTGCAATGGATATATTGTCGTCTAAATTTCTTAAAAATGAAAATAACACTGACATCTTATTTTAACAAACATATTTACCAAAATTTAACAAAAATATCTTGAAATACTAATGAGTAAATTTATTAAACAAAATCGCCATTGGCTACGACCACGGCCTTCAGACGACTTCGAAATCTCTTGCAACTCTTCTGGACGGTCTCCTTGTTTAAGCTGCCATAACCCTTGCCTTCAGTACATCTTTAGTGTTACAAAGAGTTTTGTTGGTCTCTTGATCAAATGTACTTCCACATAAGAATCAAGTGGGTCTCAGTCTGGTAAGTTAGGTAATAACATGTATGGGATGATGTAGTCGCAGAAATTGTATGGGTTCTCCTGCTTGTGTGGCATGGTACAGAGTCCCGTTGCCAGACATAAGGTATTCCAGCACACACTCTCTTGAACTAGGGCAGATCAACCTCCTCAATACACTTGATGTAGGCCTCCATGTTGAGTTTGAGGCCCTGTGGATCCCACTATACTGTGCTGTCGACAAAATCCAAAACAATGTGCATGAGTGAAATTGAAAATGTAAAATGTCAACAAATTTACCTATCGCATCCTGTACATTGATTGGCAATACACTAGAGTCAAAAAGTTACAGAGAGGTCCGGTTAACACTAGAATAAAAAAAAAACACATCTAAGTCACGTTTATACTAGAATAAAAATGGTAGATAAGTCGGCAATACGCTAGAGTTCCAAAGGTAAACCTACATTGACAATAAGATAGAGAGGAAAAGGTAGACATAAGCCCAGTTTTCACTGGAGTAAAAGGTTGAAAAAGGTACTTTTTTGTAGAGTCAAAAAAGTAGAAATAGGCGCAGTTTGCAGCAGAGTGAAAAAGCTAGAAATAGGCACATTTTCCACCAGAGCTAAAGAAGGTTGGAATATGTACTGTTTACACGAATTTAAAAGAAGGCTGAAAAAGACACGGTTTGAACTAGAGACAAAATGGTAGAAATAGACATGGTAAGAACTAGAGACAAAAAGGTAAAAATAGACACGGTTTGAAATAGAGACAAAAAGTTAGAAATAGACACGGTTTGAACTAGAGCCACAAAGGTAGAAATAGACACGGTTTGAACTAGAGCCACAAAGGTAGAAATAGACACGGTTTGAACTAGAGCCACAAAGGTAGAAATAGACACGGTTTGAACTAGAGCCACAAAGGTAGAAATAGACACGGTTTGAACTAGAGACAAAAAAGTAGAAACAGACACGGTTTAAACTAGAGACAAAAAGGTAGAAATAGACACGGTTTACACTATGGTCAAAAATTTAGATGTTAGCTTTTGCTGTGTGACACGAAGTAGAATAATATGCTAGCATAGAAGAGATCATAAGCTATTTCTAGATATTTTTTCGTACCATTTCACATTCATTCTGCCTTAGTTGGTAAACTGATAATTCCCGTGGTAAAATAGGTTTTCTTTAAGTTTACCATTTTAAAAGACACCATTTTCAGACTACAATCATTAATGCCTCGACGTTTGTTTGTCTGACTAACTATTAAACCACACTATGTGACACAACTTGATTTCATAGAATCATTTGTTTAATCAGCAGTGACATCGAAATGGTGATAAGATTACAACGACTACAATTTCTTCCGTTTCTCATGAATATTCAGTTTCGATGTTTGATTTCTCCTTTTGTACGGAGGAATAAAAGCTGTGTCAGGTTATGAGTAAATCTAGCCGCAATCTGTATGACAATTTATGTGCAAACACTGACATCGATATAACAGCGGAAGGAAATAATTTACTTTTCCACCGAGAAGAAACTTATATTCTTGCACGTGTGAGTACATCTAATCAAACAATGCTGATCTAGTTTTCAATGGGTTGCTCGTGTGTAACAAGTAGACGATGC